TTCTCTGGCTTGGGTTTGGACTGACTCCAGTCAGCACTGGAAGGAAGAGAATAAAAATCCAGTATTGCACATTGATGATCACACTGAGACAGACCTGGTTCGTGGTAATAGATACACACAGGTGAGGCAGGGTGAATGATATCGGAGACCGGTGCCCTGGAGCATACAGTGGTTTTGCAAAGCGCTGCCTGGTGTGCCAGCTTCGTACATCACATCATCTGGGTGCAGCCCCCCGGTTCAGGCTGGGGCTGTGACTGCCCTGCAGTCTCCACTTGCAGTATACCCACATCCTACAGGAAAATGTTTCATTTAAAGTAGGAAAACAGAAGAAGGGGAACGTCCTTCTATAAAACAGATGAGATGACAGATGCTTCCAAGACGCAGCCTGAGAAGCAAAAGATGGTCTTCCATTCCTTTTTTGTAACAAGAAAGGAAGAATAAAATAAATAATAAGCTGAACATCTACCAACAATGGACCTGCAGTCAGAAGTGGGAGAGTGCAATTTAGCAACCCAGCACCAGGATGTGTCTGAAGAGATTCACAGTCTATTTCCAGTTCTGCCATTTACCTACTGTGTGACGCCCAGCAAGTCCATTAGACTCTCTTTGACAGGTCTCCTCTTGCTCTTTTCCTGTCTTGCCTATTTGATCACAAGCTGTATTTTTACCCCTCAGGCACTATCTCATAGAGTGAGCTTGTTTAAACAAGAAGTCCTGATTCTGCATGGGGCTTCTTGTGTTTGCTGCCAGGCATAAGACAAAACTAGGCAGTAACCAGGACCTTGCGGGACAACGCTTTCAATATATCGATGCCTCACAACCAGCCACAAGCTTGCAGGCTGCATCTCATCCAAAGCTCTCTGCTTACCTCAAATCAAGAAGCACCATCTGTAAAATGGGCTCTGAAACACCCATTTGCCCTTAGGGAGTTTAAGGAAAGCTCAAACACAAGCTCATCCTACAAAGGGTGCTACAGCAGCTGAAAGTGCCATTAAGCAGTAAGACTGCTCTTCACATTCAGAATGAAACCCCATAAATCTCCTTCTGGTTGGGAGCAGCTGCTTGGCTGGTTAGTGTGTGAAGCCACTTTACCGCATGTGGCTGAGAAAGTTCAGAATGCGCATAATCACAGAACACCATGCTGCCACATGCATGTGCACACCACAGCACAGAGGGAGACAAAAGGAAAAAAAGGAGCAGATCCTCTTCTCCATTTCTGCATGGTAACATGCCGGAACTCTTTACACCAGCATTAACAGGGAGCAAAATTTGGCCACAGGGGATTCTGAGTCAGGCAGCCTGGAACAAGAGATACCTGGGGATTTTCCAGAGTATGATATTAGAGAAATACCATACTCTGGAGCAAGCCCTGATTGCTTAGACTTCCAGAAATATAAGGCTGGAGGGGGCTTCTAGGAGGCTCTTCTGCATTAAAGCTTAACTTTCAAATCACACAGTCTACTTTTTTTGGCTTCCACAAAAGCTATTACTGCCTTAACAGCTTGTTTATTAAAATGCATTTACTCTCTACTTTCAGCAAAAGCTTAACTTTGCCACAGTCCTCTTATATTCAACATTCTGAGGAGGCAATCATGGTTTTGGATGACTATGCAAAAGTAATCATGATCAAGCAAGCTCTTTTTCTCTTTTACAAATCTCTCCTTCCCTCTGTACACAAGACAGGGGCATCACGATGGCTTTGAGGAATTTCTCTTTTGGAGGAGATGCTACGAAGACAAATTTGGGTCCTGCCAAACACCAAAGGAGCAGTACTAAATCGTGACTATTAGCTCAGAAATTACCCAGTGCTTCTGACTCACAGTCACATTTAGCGGACAAGCAGGTTGGCCTGAGCCTGTGAACCCCCACCCAGTGAGCAGGCCTTGCTTGTGCAAGCAGCCCAAGGCTTAGCCCTACAGACCTCAGGGAGCAGGAGCTCCTCGTCTTCTGCCCCTGCTGACCTCAGTGCCAGGCACATCAGCGGGGCTCCCTGAATAACAAACAGCACCTTGCAGCTCTTAATGCTGTCACCAGGCTACACCTGACCCAGCTAACTCTAGCCTTTTCTGGCAACTTAGTAATAGTTAAATAATTAATTACTAATAATGGGGGAGATGGGGGGGGGGGGGTTTTTTTTGGTTTTTTTTCAAATATCCAAAGTATTGTGGGAGAGGCCCTGGCTTTGAGGAATTTCTCTTTTGGAGGAGATGCTACGAAGACAAATTTGGGTCCTGCCAAACACCAAAGGAGCAGTACTAAATCGTGACTATTAGCTCAGAAATTACCCAGTGCTTCTGACTCACAGTCACATTTAGCGGACAAGCAGGTTGGCCTGAGCCTGTGAACCCCCACCCAGTGAGCAGGCCTTGCTTGTGCAAGCAGCCCAAGGCTTAGCCCTACAGACCTCAGGGAGCAGGAGCTCCTCGTCTTCTGCCCCTGCTGACCTCAGTGCCAGGCACATCAGCGGGGCTCCCTGAATAACAAACAGCACCTTGCAGCTCTTAATGCTGTCACCAGGCTACACCTGACCCAGCTAACTCTAGCCTTTTCTGGCAACTTAGTAATAGTTAAATAATTAATTACTAATAATGTGGGGGGGGTGGGGGGGGGGCTTGTTTTGGTTTAATGTCCAATTATCCAAGGATTTGGAGAGAAGTCCAGGAACTGCAAGTGAAAACTAAGGAAACTCTCTCTGCTAATTGTGGGGCTGTTTTCAAGACTGCCTTTTCTAACCATGTGATCACACTGTACAATGAACATTTCGGGTGTGCAAAACAGTAGTGACATTGTTATGCCTCCATGAAAGCTGGCTGCTTCTGTTCAGTCACTTGTTTTCGTCCTTTTCCGCAAAAATATAGATGAGCTACAGATAAGCTGCTCATTAAAGAAAGGGATTTTATTCCTACAGTATTGCTTCCTTTTGTCACTCCTACATTCAAAGAGGAGGGAAGATCCAAGCAACTACAGGCTGGTCAGCCTGACCTTGATCCCTGGGAAGATGATGGAGGCAAATAATCCTGGGAACCACTTCTAAACATATGAAGGACAAGAAGGTGACTGTGAGTAGACATATAGATTTATGAAGGGGAAATCATGTTTACCCAGCCCGACAGCCTTCTATGATGAGGTGGACTTGTTGGATGAGGGGAGAGCAACAGATGTTGTTTATGTTGACTTTAGCAAGGCTTTTGACACTGTCTCTCAAATGTCCTCATAGACAAACAGAGGAAGAAGAGACTAAATAAGTGGACAGCGGAGTGGACTGATAACTGGCCGAACCATTGCGCTCAAAGTCCAGCCGGAGGCCAGTCACTAGTTGTTTACCCCAGGGGTCAATACTGCTTAACGTCTTTATTAACGAACTGGATGATGCGGCAGAGGGCACCCTCAGCAAGTTCGCAGCTGATACAGAACTGGGAGGGGTGGCTGATGCACCAGAGGGTTGTGCTGCTGTCCAGAGGGACCTGGACAGGCTGGAGAAATGCACAGGCAGGAAACTCATGAACATCAACAAAGAGAAATGAAAAGTCCTGCACCTGGGAAGGAAAAACCCCACGCATCAGTACATGCTGGGGCTGACCAGCTGGAAAGCAGCTTGGCAGAGAAAGACCTGTTGATCCTGGTGGACACCAAGCTGAAGTCCACAATGCACCCTTGTGGCATGGAGCACCAACAGCATCCTGGGCTGCATTAGGAGAAGCGTTGCCAGCAGGTAGAGGGAAATGATCCTTCTCTGCTCAGCACCGGTGAGACACATCTGTAGTGCTTGGTCCAGTTCTGGGCTCCCCAATACAAGGAAGATATGGACTTACTGAAGTGAGTCCAGTGAAGGCCCACAAGGATGATTTAAGGGACTGCAGCATCTGACACACAAAGAGAGGCTGAAAGAGCTGGGACTGATCAGACTGAAGAAGAGAAGATTCATGGGGATCTTATCGATGTGCATAAATACCTCATGGGAGAGGATAGAGAAGGTGTAGCCAGACTCTTCTGAGTGGTGTCCATTGAAAGGACAAGAGGCAACACAATTTTAAGTACAGAAATTCCATTTAAACATAAGAACGCTTTTTTACTGTGGGAGTGGTCAAACACTGGAACAGGCTGCTGAGAGCGGCTGTGCAATCTCCATCCTTGGAGGTATTCAAGACCCAACTGGACATGGTCCTAGGCATCCTCCTTTAGCTGACCCTGCTTTGAGCATTGGGTTAGGGACTAGATGATCTCCAGAGGTACCTGTCAGCCTCTACAATTCTGCGATTCTCCAGTTTTTTAACTTTGCATTCACTCAGTGATTGTAATCAAGAATCTTTCTTCTGTCCTACACTGCTGTCTTGAGTGTTGCCCAGCTAACAGCAATAGCAACAGCAACTTCCCTCTGGGACTTCATGGCGGCATCTGCTCTTCCTTGTCAGAAGGGAGCTTGCAACAACTTTGGGGGCAGGGGGGTGGGTCTTTTATCATTTGGGAAGGACGGTTTCATTGGTGTTAGGTAGGTTTTCTCAAACAGGAAGGCTCTGCAGTGTTTCCTGATGATGGTCATGCTCTGAAATATCTAGTTATTTAACAGCTTCCTTCATCTTCCAGCGTGTTAACAGTTTAGTAATGCTAGAATTTTTCTTACCAAAAGCCCTACAGGTCTGCTCTATCCTTTACTTTCCACCTATGTCTTTATCCCCCCGTCTTATTAAAAACAGGATCATTCTCCTTATTTGGAATATATTCAAGTGTGTGAAAATACAGTATACTCCAGTGAGTTAGCTTATTTCAGCACAGACTGCTGCCTTTAAGGAAGAAATGGAAGTACTTGTCCACCAAAGGATGGGGAATGTCCACTGACAATTAAATGCTACTTCTCCCAAATTGTAACAGAGCAAAACTATTTTTTTCTTCAAATCCAATCCACAGATTTTTGGACTTCATTTTTTTTTCTTAAATGGATCTGTTTTATAAAAATAAATAAATAAATAAATAAGAATCATGTGAACAAATGTAGGACTTACGTATGATCCATAATTCACCGCTAGGGTCTGCAAAGCCCACGGGAGGCCTAGGCCAATTAAAATATCAAAAACATTGCTTCCGATGGAGTTGGACACAGCCATATCCCCCATACCTGCAGGAATGGAAACCATGTGCAATCAGACATGTCTCAGAAAAGTCTTTCAACTTTTAAACAGAAATACATTAATCTGAGCTAATCCAATTTCCACGGATTAAGGCAGAGTTAAGGGAGATCCACCTCACCCCATCCCTTCCCTTTCCCCTTTGCCCTCCCCACCACACAAGGCTAGCAGAGTTGAAGGGGCTTCTAGGATCATCTGAGAACTTCCCTCAACTAATCCTCCGCTGCTGTGGGGACCCCGGCCACTGGCTGTGCTGGCTGTGACCTGCTGGCACTCTTGTGCCATGCTCAGTGGGGCTTTTGATGCTTTACTGTAACCATGACACATGAGTTTCTATACTGGACTGATTAGATTAGGTCTTTGTGTAGTCTAATAAGTAGCCGGTTGTTTCAGACCAATGAAGAGCCACTGGTTTTGTTCCCCAAAGCAGTACTGACAACTTTCTTTTTCTCTTAAAACACCTGTTGCTGGAGTCACAAGGGGGAAAAAAAAAAGTTTTCCTTAAAAACAGTAGTATCTTCCAGTCCTTATAACTGTGGAGAAAAGCTAGAAAGTGACCTGAAAGACGTTCTAAACAATTCTGTACCACCAATATTTAAATTAATAAAAATGTTGTGACTTTTGGGGAAGGCTTGAAGTTGACAATAGTGCCAAAACTTGTTCCACACCGTCATTAAGAACCTGTTAGCTGCTTTGCAATAGCAACATGATTAATTTCCTTCTTTGTTCTTGTTTTAAATTGCAGCCTCAGGAAAAGGGCTCTGTATGTTTTCACATTCAGGACACAAGGAAACACTTCCATAGCAGTATGACATCTCTGTGATGAACCTACCTTGCCTTGCTACGATAAGGCTTGCCATGCAGTCCGGCACACTGGTTCCAGCTGCCAAGAAAGTGATGCCCATGATCACATCTGGAATTCCCAGTGTGTAGCCAATGATTGTCACCTAAGGAGAGGAAATAAACTGTCAAACTGTTTACAAGAATTAAAATCAGAGACCAGCTTGGCCCAATTCTGCAAAATGCTGCGAGACAGAGTTTATTGCTTGGTGCAAACTCACACTTTCTTTAAAGAGAAGCAGTGACAGGCTTTTTTGGTATATTCATCACCTGGCAGAGGATTGCACTGACCTGCTACGTACCCTCTTTGGTTAGCTGCTTCACACCTTTGATCCGCAATTTTCCTGACACTAACCTGGAAAAGAGACTACACGGTGGCCTACTATCCTGTGTAACAGTCTCCTGATCTTGGCTGAAGTTTGCAGACATTATTATATACAAATAATAGCTAAGCAGACACTAAAACAACCCCATGGTTCATTATACTATGAAAATGCCATATGCAGGGACATATCCCCAAGTGTCTGCAAACAATTCCTATTGGCAGAGAGGAGATACCTTTAATTTCCTCTTTTCTTTGCTATGCAGTCTATGATAAACTAGCGCTCTTCAAATTAATGAATATTTTTGAATTTTGGATGCCTTTGTCTAACGATGCCCATTTCCTATTAGCCACATTTAATTGCTCTTCTGAACTCTGTGCAGCATACTCCAAGAAATGTGAACCATATGTTAAAAGAAGCACAGTGACCCTGTGGGCTCTGGTATTTCAGCTATGGAAAGTTGGGATAGCTTTTTTCTTGAAAAACACCTCATTCTTGCAGATGAAAAGCAGAAGAAAACAAGTAACTTTCTATTTCCTGTTCGGGATAACATGGGTTATTGAAAACAAAACAAAATAAAAATCACCCCTCTTCTGTAACTGCTTTGGTTAGTTCGCAGGGAAAAGCCAGGCATTCATTTTTGCATTTAGTACAAGAATTAATTGTGAAGGCAGTGAAGATTTTTTTGTTGCCTCCCCCTTCCCAGCAGGGACGCAGTGACCAGTGCTTTAGCAAGGTATCTCCATGCTCTTCGGCTCCCATGCCGAGACAGATCATGAATTGTGCTCTCCATCGCAAGTGCAGCAGTCCAAAACCAGGCCTCCCTTGTTAAGATTCTCTCCTGATGCCAATGCCCCATCACTGTCTGATTCTGCTTAAAGAGTACAGACCACCCCAAAAGAAACACAATCCATGCTGCAGTATTACGGTAATCCTAATGAGGACAACTTACACCTTTCACGTACACATATCACGTAATGAGGCCTGCAGCAAGCTAACAGCCTCAATGATCCAACCAGTGCACAAAACTTCTCCCAGGCCAACTATGCTTGGATTTCCTTGTGTTCATTTTTATTTATCCTCTTCTACCTTTAGGATAATGAGGTAGAATTAAGTTCCTGTTGACTAAAGTAGTTGTGCAAGAATTTGGCTGAATGCCGTGCTTTTTTTCATGCTGAGTTCAAAACAACTTTGTCTCTCAAGCTTGCTTGCTCCAAGAAAAGGAAAAGCTATTGAGGCCAGGTTCTTAATAGCATCAGGGCCTCTTTACACTGCCCTGCAGGACAAGGAGGTGTTAAACTGGTGCAAGCATAATTTTTTTCCATGTTAAAGAATCTGGATGAAATTCCAGCCCCGAATCAAGTTCAAAGACCATGGCTACTGGCCCCTAATTTTCTTCTCTCAGTGTGGACAGGTTTAATAGAAATGGAAGCAGACTTAAGATTTCTCATTTAAAAATTCAGGTACATAGAACTTTCTACACATTTATCCAAGATGACAAAAACCACTTCTGTTGCCTCTCTCAGGCTGTGGTTTCTGCTTTAATTGGTACGTACCATCCACACCATCATGTAGGAGAAAGCTGCAATCCAGAGGGTAGAAGAAGCAAAGGTAACCATGAACCATTTTTCCAAGTTGGGTTTGTTACAGTTGGGCACTGTGAAGTACAGGACAAAACTCAATGGCCACGTGAAGAGCCACTTCAAGATTTCTATCTTGCCAGCTGTAAAACAAAAAGGAAACAGTCATAATTCTAGTCTGATTTAGTCCAGAATGCTATCATTTTGTTCATATTAACAAGCAAGATGCCAGGGACACCTCAGTCTAAGTGCTATTCAAATAGATAATGACAAGACATTCCTTGTTCAGAAGATCATGGTGCGATGGCAGAAATGGGAGAGCAGAGAAGGGCACAGCGAAGGAGCATGAAGTGCCTCCCTCAGAGTTGGTTAAGTATCGGGTCAGAGCACACCTGCTACCCTCCCTTGGTCAAGTTCTTACAGGTACCACATAAAAAGCAAGTTCCAGAAGGAGATCTGATCCATCTTCAACCACCTAATGGGAGGGTACAGAAAAGATGGAGCCAGGCCCTTCACAGAAATGCACAAGGAAATTTTAAGAGCCAATGGACTCAACTTGCAATAAGGGAAATTCAGAGTAGATGCTATCATTAAGTTGTGCATTTTCTTTTTTTTTTTTTTCCTACCATGAAGGTGGTCAAACACTGGAACAGGTACGCAAAAAGACTGCGGGATCTCCATTAAGTTGTATTTTCTTTTTTTTTTTTTTCCTACCATGAAGGTGGTCAAACACTGGAACAGGTACGCAAAAAGACTGCGGGATCTCCATCCTTATAGATAATTAAAACTCAACTGGACGCAGCCTTGGGTAACCTGCCCTGAGCAGGGGTTTGAACCAGAGATCTCCAGAGGTCCATGCCAACCTTTCCGATACTATGAATCTAGTGTCATGGTCCACAGGACATCTAAATTACTCTCTTCAGGCTCAGTTTTTTTCCTTACTCGAACTACAGCTATGCTGTTTGAGTGAGGAGATCTGAACCGGAGTTCCCAAAAATGTATCTCACCTGTAAAGGGCAGGACCAGTCCCTACAGTATTCTGGCTTGTCTGCAACACAGCAGATCTTGCCAGCTGTGGCAAGTGTGAGTCAAAGGTAGGGCAGGGATACGTTATAATCATCCCGGGACTAGAGCCTTGATGGGGTAAGAGGGACTTGGCAAAAAGGAGATCTCCATCCTGCAGGCGCAATGCTCAGCAACCTGAGGCACACGTGGTTTTTCACAAGTCACGTAGCTGTTCTGACTTTCTAAGCCCTCCAGAAAGAGTGAGAAGACACTGTGGCTGTGCCTAGTTAACAGCAGGAAGCAGAGGCACCCAGGACCTTCTTTTGTCGCCGCTCCGCATCAGCACCACCACTGCCTTGTCTCTGTTAGCACTACACCTTACCACCGAGGTAAGAGCGCACCTCATTGCCTTACCATTGCAAAGGTAAGGCCCAGACGCAGACGCATCCGACCTGCATTCAGGCGCCTTGCCAGCGGCACCACCATCCTCAGCTTCCTCCGCAGTCAGCAGAGAGGCAGGCCTCTCCAGAGGGTGACCCAGGTTTTGGGGGTAGGAACCACCCCATTGCTGCCTCTTCCCTCTGACTGCAGCAGCAGCGCCAGGCAAACGCATGAGCTGCAGCAAAGGTGTGTCCAAGCCCAGGTGTCTGCATCCTGAGAAGTTCCTGCTGCTTCCCAGTTCCTCTCATCTTTTACCTGTGACCAGGAACTACACTGGGAGGTGCAGGCTGATGGGAGCTCTCAGAGACACTTCTACCTCAACACGCATCTGTGATGCTTTCTGGCATATCCAAACTGAGTTTTGCTTTCTGGAACAACACAAACCCAGGAGCTTCTTACTGGGTAGGTCAAAAGGTGTGTATGGCCCTCCGTGGTCATCATCCTCATCATCTTCTTCCTCTTCCTCATCGTTTTCATTGTTCTCATTATCCTCATTCTCGTTCTCTGTCTCGTTCCCAGCCTCAGCCATGTCTTCATCCCGCCGTGTGCCATTCACGCCCCGCTCGGCAGAGTTGCTGGGGCCTGTTCCATTCTCAACCACATGCTTAACAGGTATTTTGATTGCTACTTCTGACTCACCATTGGTGTAAGTCCTGCTGTTGATCAGCCTTTGTCTCTGTAAATACAGGCACAAATTCTTGCTCAAAGACAGATATTTTTGTATTTAATTTTTTAAAGAGAAAGGAAGGAACAGAGAAAGAGATGTGCAGAGTTCTTTAAAAATGTGGCTTTAAAAGCAAAAGGGATGAATTTTGATCAGGTATAACGTGACGCTTGCTTGCAGATGACTAGATAAATCTCATAGATACAACTTTTATAAGAGAAGGGCCAGTGGCTGTAGAATTGACTGCAGGAGTACTCCAAGACCAGGGCCAGACTAAGTGCAGACTCAGTGGAGTATCATATTATTAAATAAGTGCAAGCAATATTAATGTCAGATCAATCCAGGGGCACCTCCTGTGAGCAACAGCTACAGGTAACATAACCACATGACGACTTGCAACTTTCTCTGCTAAAATCTCCATGGGGACAGATAGCAAGGGATGATTTAGTAAAGTCAGTGTCAGAAGGATAAAATCTGGGAAAGTGCTATCAGGGATCCAGAGAAAACACAAGAGTTCCATTTTGACTCAAACACTGCTACAGGAAAAGGCCAATTCAGAAGAAGAAGAGGAGGTGGGGGGGGAGATAAAAGACATACCTCATTGATTAACATGCGGCTGGCCATGGAGAGACGTGTTTTGGGAGGGAAGTGGCTGGTTATCATGATCCGGAGCCCAGCCTCAGAAAATGAAAGCTGGTGGGGGTAGGCAGACAGCAGCTCATCCACCATGATCACTGAGGCTTTACGGTGGAAATTTCCTGCAGCCAAGGAACAAAGAGAAATTGAGGTCTTCTTCCAGCAGTCTCTCTCTCTCTCTGCCCTACGTGGCTCTCAGAAGAACGAACCTGCGGGTTCCAGAAGTCCTTTGTAAGAACCATTCCTTCAGCTACCACCATTCAAAATATGCCTCCTCTGTCCTTAATTTCTGTCTTTAAATAAATTGCCAACATGGTATCTCCACTCATGCTCATTACAGAGAATTAAATCTGCCCCGTGCAGTTCATCATAGGCCTGCATTAGGCAGATCACTACTTCCACAGCAGCTATTCCACCATGCTGCGGTAAAGCTGTGTTAATTCCACAGTTATAATCCGCACTTCTGTGAGGACATTGGCCTCACCCACCATTAACCACACACGGGGCTGAGGAAATTGTCACTGTGTTCCTGCGGGGTATCAATGCAAATGAAAAGCAGGCTCCTGCATCCTGGGCTCGCAGCTCATGGCTGGGAAGTGCCATCAAACCTGGCAGCAAGTGCATGTGCCAGTCCATGGGGTACGACCCACAGTGCGGGAGCAAAGGAACAAGGAGACAGGGGCAGGTACCTGAATCGCGGTCCCACTGGGACACCGTGCCACTGCCCATTACCTCTGGGGTGACACAGTGCCAGTGTCCATTCTTTCTGTGCCTGGATGCTACCTTGCGCTGTGAATTCTGGGCCAGGACTGGGACTTGGCAGCGGGGAAACGTGAGGTCTTCCCCGACACATCTCTGCTTTGGTTTATTAAAATCAGTGCTGAACACTGGCAAATGTTTCATGGCATTACTATTTATTACCATCACTGTTAGTCTTACAGAAGAGTATCTCCTTGGCCTTAGCGTCACTTTTTTTTCTGACCGAGAAAGTTTCCATGGATTGGTGTACATAAGTGGGGTCATCCATATTAAAAAAAAAAAAAAAAAATTCAAAACAGCCAGACAGCTTTTTCTTGTGACTTTTTCCATGCTGGCATTTCCTGCATGGCCCTTGGGGGAACTGCCCCAAACACAGAAATCTTTCTGCTTTTTGGTTCTTTTTGGTCTTCTATTCAGAAAAGGCCTCAGAAAACAAACGGTAGTATCTGAAACCCTCAGGCAACCTGTTGCAATGGGTGCTGTTTGCAACCCCATGCTACTGGCGGGTGTGCACAGCAGCGCCACTTGCCTGTCTGGGCCGCTGGTGGCCCACTGCCAAGTAAATACAGGCACAATCTGCAAGAAAATGAAGTAATCCTTTTGTCTTCCTTCCTCAACCAGTTTGAGTAACGGCAAGTGTCCAAAACAAAAAATTACCAGCAGCTGAGCAGTGTCATGCAAAGACACATTCTGAAGAGATTTAAACCAAATCCCACAATCAGAACTGCCTCATTTGTGCACAACCCTGAGGCCACCGGGTAAACCTAGATGACTAAGGCCTGAGTTTATGCTTACTGAGTTTTACCAGTCTAGCTTTATTGGTACAAAATGTAGTCATCTTGTCAGCACAGTTTCGCTGTTGAAAGCCCCAGGCTACAGATAGCTGTTCCCATAAAAGCAACTTCCCCAAATCAGAGTGCACAGCACGCACAAAAGCCTTCCCTCAGCAATAGGGTAGTAACATGATAGCTGGCCTCTGGTAGACTCAAAGGGTCTGATGTCAGCAAATAAACCCCTCCACATTTCATGTTTAGCTACTTACTGTATACAGACTATGTCTTTCAATCACTGTTTGCAGGAAAAGAGACCTATTTTTGTTAATTTTTTTTTTAGTCCAGTGAAACAAAAAGGGCAGCCCATCTGTAGTCAAGAGACCAGGATAGAGCTCCTTCTCTAGTTAAACCAGTGACTGGAGGGAGGGGATGTTATTCCTGAGAATAGGTGCATATAAATCCCAAGCAGTTACTGCACATGCTTGTTGACTGTTGCAGAGATAAAAAAAAATGATCCTCTGTAAATACAATTTAGCACATGCTTGCAAATGCACACATGAAGCTACTGCTGCTGAGCTATGGAGCGGGTGAATTTTTTTTAAGCTGAAGAAATACAATCATTTTTATACGTGATCGTGACTAAAGTCAAATGGGAGCGTATTTCAGCCAAAGTGAAATCCACTTAAAGATCATTTACACGGAAAAGTTGCGCATGTTCAAGACAGCATGTGCAGTAAGAGCATGCTACCTAGACCAACACAGAGTCCCCACCCTCCCTTCACTGGGGGGAAAGAGTATGCTAGTATAAGTAGGGCCTTTTTCCCTGCTCAGTTTATGCCACTTTGGAATGGAGTTAAATTTAACTGGAGGTACTAAATGTAAATGGGCATCTTCAGTGCAGCATAACAGCGCCCACAGGAGGACTTACAATGGCATGGCTGTAACGGTCTAAATAAGTAGCCTCTGGGCAAGTCAGGCTTGAAGCTGGAGGAGTCCTTTCAGCCAGGCACTTGTCCAGCAGCAAGAACTACCCAGAGGAGGCCTGAGCTGCCTCCAGTGGCAAAGGAGGTGGTGGCTGGGGTCACCATGCCGCGCACCCAGACACAGGAGCCATGGCCATCTGACAGGGGGGTTACAAAAGGGCCACCTCCCCGCCTATTTCATGGCTGATAAGACAGAAGCAGTCCACACCGCATGACTAGCAGACAAACTTGTAAACATTCAGAACGATGCAAGCAAGCAGGGTGACTTACTGGAACAGTTACCTTTCTTTAGTAATACGACTGTGGCATCGCAGTTGCTGTTATCATCCATTTCTGTGTTATTTGCTAAACCGTTCACCATATTTGCAGAGTTTTTTGTCCTCCTTTCGAAGCAGTGATGTATGGTTGAGTTGTACCTGCACAAATGAAACAAACTCTAGATGTACCTTTGTTTCTTCTATGTGGATTTCTTGACACTCTTCCTTTCCTAGACTCATATCCTGCGCGATCCAGCTAAGGGAGGGAAGAAAACCCCTCTGGTTTTAAGGAAATCTAGCCACAGTATGCCAGAGCTCTAACTAAATTGTATACGATGTAATCTCTCCATACCCAGAAGGCTATGAAAGATACAAGACACGAATCTTGAATGACATGTATGCTTATGTATTATCTGTAATTAATATTCTGTATAGCAAATAATGATTACTTGTCATCATCCAAATTTATTTTTTACCACATAATCACACCTGAGCACGAGTGTTGTTTTACCTGTGAAGACCTACCACAGAAACGCAAGACCGTATGCTAAGTTCCATCTCAACTTTGGGGGGAAAAAGCCAATAATCTTTGTTTCTTATTTTATTTAGAGTAGCCAGGAGCTGACACAAACCTGAGCTGAGGATCTCACCACAATACTCAAAGGCAAGGGTAGACCACTGTGAACACCTGGCTGAGGTCCCTAACCAGGCCAACAACCTCCCCAGCTATATCCAAACAGGTCTGAAACATCTGTTCACACTACAGCATTGCTTTCAGAAAAAAAATCCATTCTATATTCAGGCATTACAATTGTCTGTTTTGCTGGTCACTTAATTGTTGCAAGGGTGAAGCTACCCTCCATGTTAAAGAAAAAGTTTCTAATTATTATAAATGAGATGAATTCTGACTCATGTTCCCTTCAACCCAGCCTGAGTGTTTTTCTGTTCTCACTGAGAATTGCTCTCACAATATTTACTCTATTCATCATTTCAAAACAAATCTCTACTCTTACTTGTTGAGACAAGACCACTGGTGTGCTTGGCAGCTGGTAGGTTCTGTTGAATGTTCCAGTTTAAATCTGGGTTTCCTTTCCACTGGCTTTCAAAAACAAGGCAGGAGGAGGGGAACCAAACAGCAGAACAGACTAGCTTTGCTAGCATGAACTTATGTGAAAGAAGTTACACAGGTCAGATGCTCAGAAAATCAATGTTGATTGTGCTGTAGTTTTATCATGGGTCTCCAAGCAAGAATGAACAAATTGCTGTGGAGTTTTGCACCCATAAAAAGTAGTCTGGAATCTCCCGTGTGTTTATTTTTGAGTAGGGATGCTAAAGTGAAGTCAGAAGAGGCTGCTTTGGTGGGACTTGGGACGGATTCGGTTCTCTGCTCTGCCACAGACTTGCTGCATTAACCTTGGTCAGTTCACAAAGGGTGAGATCCATAAAGCATCATCCACCTTTAGATGTCTGATCCTTGAATCTGTACTATGAGGACAAGCAGCCCCTTCCTGCCTCATCAGGATAACTTACAGATAAGTACATGACAGGGCAAGGTGCTTTAACCCCTGCTATTGGATGTGCTGCTGGCGTGCAAGCTGGGTGATGCAATGGAAGCCCTGCCCACAGCCTGCGGCTCTCTTTAATTACCTTTGCAACCTCTGGAAAAGCACCGGAGCAGGGAGCCTTACAATCTAAGCAAGCCGAGGGCGCATTTGACTTACTTCATGATAATGATGTAGATGACATACATCAGCACTAAGACTAAGGACTCCCACCTGCAAACAAGAGCGACACAGAAAACACATCAGAGCAGGGCACGGCAGTCAGCTGCCCGAGTTCAGCCATTCTGCCATCTGTCATGTCACAAACTTGCGGAAAGGCTTGACCCTCTTGGGCTGTCTTAATGCACCTCTAGAAAAGGGGATGCCTAAATAAATGGCTCACACACCCATGCGTGATGTCTCCTTTGTTTTCTTGACTTCTGCTCTGGTTTTACTTGGCCAAATCAACCCGTCAGCTAAGAACAAGTGACTGAACCCAGAAGTTCAGTGAACAAATCACGCACTCAAGGAACACTGACACTTCTGTAAGGACAATACCCGTGGGGGCTGCGGCAGAGGGAGGTGAGCAGTCGTCCTGCTCTGCCTGCATGGGTGTAAAGCAGGTCGTTGGGCTTTTTGAGCATGCTAAAGCACACCAATCATGCCGAGACAACCTGAAGGAGGGGCAGCTGCTCTTTTACTACTGCTGCTACATAACCACTGAGAATGCAGCAGGCAGCAGTTTAAACCGCTCATTAGATTGTCAGGTTTTTTCTCCACTGTTTCTGTGTCAAATTAACGCAATTTGTATGAAAACAAAATAGAATATGACTTTTAGAACTTGTTTCTAGGTAATCTTTTTCATTGACCAAAATACTGTATTCTGCATAGTTCTCTACAGCAAACTGCTAGTCCTTGTGGAAATCATCCATTACCAACCTGCTATATACTAAAACTCATGGGCCATTTTCTCTTTAAGGATTTTGAGACATTGCACTAACCATATCAATATCTTATTCCCCGCTTCTGGTACTTCAACACTCAGCTTCTGCATTGATGTGTTTTAGTTGAAAGGCACAACCAAATACAATTGGGCCTCGAGTCAATTTTAGTTAAAAAAAAACAAACAAAACAAAACAAAGAAAAACAAGCCATTGCAAAACTCAGTGTTTCAGAAATCCTTCTCTGAAATTAAATGTAAATCCCCCAGTGAGAACAAGTTTAAGAAAACATGCAACCCAAAAAGCCTGACTCCCCCTAGTGTTTGTAATCTAAATAATACTGAGTGAAATCAAAGCTACCACTGTCACTCTACAAGCCCTGAGAGGTGCTGAAAACAAAACCATGAAAGCAGAACAACTGAAAGTACACTTTTAAAAGTGTTTGAAGCCCTCCTAGCCTACCGTACCTATTGCAGTACATTTAAGCACATTCATGGGGATATTAACACATATATTTTTTTTTTTTTCTTTCTTTAAACCGGTCATTCGTTCTTTAATATTGCCTTAGGAGCTTTTGTTTTTTAAATTATTAAAAATCCAAATATTGGAACACACTTATTCATGACTGTTTGGGTGGTCCTTTCCATTCCCAGGCGGCTGACATCCCTGGAACGCTGGCACCCAAGCAGCAGTCTCTGCCTCTGCTGAGCACATCGCCATCCCCGGGCTGCTGCAGGGTGGGCAGAGGGCACTGACTGCTACTGCTGTATTGGGAAACAACCTGAGTGACGCTCTCCTAGGCTTTCTTCTCTGGCTCAGAAAATGAGTTATTCTAGCCCATCTTGTGCTGAGGTTTCTCACGCAGCAGGAAACTGCTGCCTGAATCGCCCTGCAGAACTTTTTAGCTTTCCCCTCCTCTCCTGATGAACGCTACTTATTGCAGCTTTTGTGGTATAACCAGGAAAAATGAAAAGAAAAGGGATTCACTTACCAGGAAACTTTTTCGTCATAAATAAACTGTGGAGAAAAGGTTTACAAATAGGCATGTTACACAGGAAATCACAGCTGAAAACAGCTCATCACCGAGCAGGGGACAGAGCAGGCAGAGCAACCCAGGGCTCAGGGCAATGGGATTAAGCTCTGGTCTGTTTTGGCACTGCCCTCCGGCGCAGCCTTTGAACTTCTCAACCCTTAGTTTCTCTCACCTAGTAAAGGCAGGCAGGTACTCCTTCCCAAATACCACGGGATCCTTGCATAACTGGGGCTATTGCAGCAGTGAAGCAGAAGCAGTTACAGGGAAAAGAGAAGTGAGTCAGAGAAGGGGCTATACCTGCTTCTTAACTGCATGGCTGGTCTCACCAGAGACACGGCCTCTTTCCTGACCTGTTCTTGGGTGGCAACCAGGCGATCAGTATGCAGATTTACAGCCAGCTCCAGAGCTGCTGTGAAATTTTGCTGGCTAAAAACTGGGCCCAAGGCATTATTTCCTTAAGATCTATGTGATCACCACACTAGCTGACTTTAACTACTGTGATAGTCATTTTAGCACCCCTGAAGACGGATGCTGAAGCTTTCGTAACAATGCTGTGCAAACCTTCTTGGGAAAGAAATGTGTCTCTTCTCGCATGTGTAAGATGCTGCGTGTTGGAGAAGAAACAACGCTATGTCAGAGAGGTGAAGGGTGCCTGCTACGCCTGGTTTCAGGAGGATCTGAAGAGGCAGAGGTTGGGAGGTGACCGGCAGGTGGCTGCAGTGCTCCACAGCTGGGCCCTTCCGCAGTCCACGCTCCATCACCACCAGCAGCTGTGCTGGGAGCAGAGGGGGCTGCCACCCTCCCTTGCTGGCAACACCCCTGTGTCTCCGCTTCTCCTTCCACCTCAGATGGACATCTATGGAGGGCTACTCTCGCTGCCGGTCTCGGCTGTCACTCAAAGTGGAGGACCTCAGCGTGACTCAATCCATGTGCCATGACACACCTGCCACGGCTGCTGCAGCAGGAGGGCCAGAGGGCCAGCCAGGCCACCTGGCCTGCCTGCGGGGTACCCTGGAGGGCTGGAGGGCCAGCCAGGCCTGTCCTGCAGCAGGAAGGCCAGAGGGCCAGCCAGGCCACGTGGCCTGTGCGCAGGGTGCCCGGGAGGGCCGGCCCTTCGTGGCAGCATGGGGCCTCTCTGGGAGGTCAGAGCTGGGGTTGCACACAGCAACCTGCAGCCCCGCAGCCTGGGCAGCTGCTCTGCCCTGTCAGCCTCGGTGAGGAGCGTGCTTTCCATTCAGTCCTTCCAAAGCACCTTCACCTGCTTTCAGCTCCATGCTGTGTGGAGAGGCAGAAATGCTGTATTTGCACTAGGGAAACACATCCATGGCAGCACACTGGAGAAAAGGGAGGGAAAGGGAACGAGCCTCTGAAAGCACAGTGAAAACACTTCCCTTAGGCTACATAGCCTGTAAATAGCAACTCCTGTGTGATAGCCAGCACCAAACAATAGTCACACTGGTTACTGGAAGAAAACGTGACCACAAAATGCTATGCACGTTCTAAGTTACAGCTCCCAGTCACCATGATCTAATCTGACAAGGCCTGTTTTAGGTTACAATGTGTTGGTGTGATGGGACATGAAAGCATGTGCATTGACCTTTGTGATTAAAAATAGCACCCATCCCACTTTTGTCACTAATGACTCTGACCATGTCCTTTCAAGTTAAGATACATAGGCATCTTTTTCCTTTCAAGGGAAATAAGGAATAACAGTTTTGCCAAGCTCTACAAGACAAGGTAGCTTTGTAATATTATTTTAAGATAAAAAAAAAAATCACAGGGCTGAATCAAGGTGAGGTAAGTATGGTAAGTGCAGTTTATCCACCTCTAATCTCTGTGATTTAGAGTTCACTCATTCTTATCAAATGGCCTGGAGCACCAAACAGGTGAGTTTATACTGCTTTGCTATTTATTACTGCAGCACTGCAATTCCTTTGCTAGTGAAAATGGAAGGAGACAAAGTCACATTGATTTACCCGGCAGAATATCAAGCTTTTTAAAGTTGCTGAATCTCAGCATTGGCAGGAATGTATTTATTTCCCCTCAGGTGTATTTATGATTAGTAAAGACACCAGTGGAGTGCAACTTATAATACAGCACCACAAGCTGCTGTTTAAAATACTATGAGAGCAACCTTCTACAAGCAATATCATCCCTCAAGAAAGATGATTATATTTCAGCTGCAGCGAAGTCTCAATTCCCTGATATGGCAAATTATCCCTATATGGCAAAGCATTTAAGTGCCTTCTAAAATTTAAGGCACACAGAAATCTAACAAAGGGGAAATGGCACGCAGGTCGCGCTACGCTCTGTGTGGAGCCTGTGGCTTGTCTCCCAGCAGAGACATCGGGGACTGGAGACTCAGTATTTGAATAACAATGTGCTGCCACCTAAATTTGATTCTGCCTTAAAAGGATAGGAAAGATCTGAGCCACTGTGAAGCCAGGGGTCCCTGAGTGAGTCACGCGGAGGAGAAACTTCTTAAACTGAAGCAGTGTTTGACTCTGAAAGGAAAAATCCTCATTTGCCATCAACTGGGGAGCAATATTGCATATAAAAGGGTTGGTAAATCAGCTGGGAGCTAAATCTTTAACCATTTAAAACGTTTTCCCTTCTTCCCATCTTTCTCTGTTTTTCTCTAACAGGTGTTTAAAAGGCATTTGCAATGATTGCTGTGGAGTAATGCTGAAGAGAAGTGGTACGCGCTCCACATCTCCCAAGCCACAATTAGCCATGTAGTGCTGTAATGCGGGAATAAGAGTTCTGGCAATGCCTTCAAGCCTCCACTAATGCCTGGAGTTGCACAGTCCTGCTGCCCTGGCTGCATAAAGGACCTTGAAGCTCACAGCTGATAAGATGAGCAGAAGAGCGAGCACGCATCTGGAGAGAAGCTAACCTGAGGCTTAGGAAAAAAATAACAGTATCCTGATACTATAGAGTACACTCCCAAAAGAAAAGTACTTCTGTAGTTCTGTAATTATGAAGAACAACTTATACAGAAACAAAGTATAGGAGAAAAGTCTTAAGGATAACAGAGATGTCTGTTCAATGAGCCATACAACTTTCTCACTATATAGGATACGTAGCTAGGAGTTTCAGGGGTGCACTGGACACAATACAATAGAGAATGGTTCTGAACATCCTGAAGCAGCTGACAACCACAAGGATGAACCAGCCATGAAAAAAACCTGCCTTCCTTTAAGAATTTAAAACCTGATGACAGATTCAACAGATTTTTAACTTGCCACCATGCAATAAGTGTACACCCAATCCAAACAACAGGAGGCTAAATGCCAGGCAGCTGCCCACATCTGTGCTTCCCGTGGAGTAAACTAAGAGAATGTCTGCTAGGAGTCTTTAAGCTCATGCAATGTAATTTATTACAATTAGTGGGTGTGGCCAAGTTTGTTGTTTAGGAACACTTTTTGGTATGCGGTTGCTGTCAAAGCAAAAAAAAAAGTTTTTTGTTTTGCAGCTCATTGCTAATAATTATGTAGAAAAGTTATTTTTCATCAGGTGCAAAAAGGCTGACCTTGCAGTGTGGGGAATAAAAGTACAAACAGGTTGAGGCAAACCCTCTGTTTGAGATTAGACAGATATAGGCCTTTGCACCTACAGAATATGTAAAGTATACAGGCATGTGCAGAATGAAGGCAAAACAAAACACACTGTTGAAACTGCGACTAATAAAAGTAGCACAAACTTCAGAAATGCAAGTGTTCATCTTCTGACTCTAAAGTTCCCTTCTTGCTTACATATGGAAGTTAACCTCACAAAATCACTCTTCCTTTCTTAGGGAATCTAGGGTCCTAGACTAGGCTGGGGAAAAAAAAAGGCAAAAAAAAAAAGCAAAGTAGCAACTGTTACCAGGAAACTCAATTTTTACACTTCCTGACTTTGTTTGGTATTGGTTGCAAAGATAATGCTAAACTGATGGCAGTATCTTTATCTGAACACTCGTGACAACATTTTTTCACTGTATAGCCCGATTCTGAGAACTTACTGAGCTTGATGAAAGCTGGAATAGGAGCAGCACTAAGAATTACTGAAACTGTAGCCTTCATTAGAGGATTTGCTGCTAGAGTGCACTGAACAAGACTTGCCACAATTATGTGTGGAAAAACTAACTTTAATGTTTTGTAGTTGTTGAGGATCTCTTTCCTCTGGGCACAAATGCTGCCTCCTTACAGGTCAGTTAGGCTTTTTTTAGGAAGCTGTGAGGGTCGCTGTCAGGACAGGATTGACCAACGCATCCGCTCCAGAGCTGGCGGTGGGGCTGCAGCACGGGGTTTCAGCTCTGCACCCTGCGGCTGTGCTGGGACACCGCACTTCTCCCCAGCTATCGCTCTGGGCTCTCTGGACACTCCTCAATCTCCTACCCTTGGGCCAAGCTTTTCTACAGAACCAGGGAGAACACAAGCACATTCTTCCACAAAACCACGTGATTCCTGGAGCTAGGATCTTAGCTACAAGACTATGATTTCTTAGCAGGTTCCCTTTACAGGTGGCAGTGGACACGTGGGCTCCCACAGAAGAATAACCTTCAAAAACTTACCACAATGAGTGCAACAACAGACAGTGTATAGTAGATTGAATCTCTCAAGAGACTCCATGACGACAGTGCAACGACCTGGGAAAACAGGCAAAGAGAGGATGTCAGCCAGGCTCTCACCAGCACGACTGCCACTCTAACAGTGTGTGCCAAAGTTAAGCCCGTCATTCTGTGTAAGCTGTCCCCATGCATACTACGACACGAAGAGGAGGCCCAAGCCAGGAAACACACTGTCTTGCTGGGGCTGCTCGAGGACCAGCCACTAGGGAGATGGGGGGATGGCCAAATCTGAAGAGTAAAAGGTATAAGGTCACGGGCAGCAGATGACTTCCATGCAAAGTCACAGACATGCTGAATCACACCAGTGTTGTCAAAGCCATGGAAAGGGGAATCAAGTCCCAAGCATTTATGGATGACAGAGAAGTTTCCCACAAGCTCAGCAGGCTATCTGATATCCTTTTCCCGCTGAAATCCCTCCTGTACACACACCACAGAGCCTGCAGTAGCAGTCCCTGCAGGCTGAGCTGTCCCCCATGTCTGGCTGTGTGCTGCAGCTGGAAACAGCTGAACCATAGGCAGGCACAGGGTGGCCTGGCACGGAGGAGGCTGTGAGTGCTGCTGCTGACAGGGCAGCGTGAAGGGGCTCAGCTTTACCAGCAGGACCCTTCTGTGCCAGTGCTGGCGCTCAGCAACAAGTGTCTCAATGGAGAATGGTCACAGGAGATGAACAGCCCTGTCGAGTGTCTGGGACAGGATGTGACCACTCCTTCCACCCACCCCACGGTTTGCATCTGTTTCTTGTATTAATTTTCCCCAACCCAGGACTCCTGCCTTCCTTGAGAGAGGAAACCAGCCTGAAACGTTGAGCAAGAGCGCAAGGTATGCAATGGTCCAGTAGACAGGGGAGCACCACCAGACACAGTCCCTAGCTGCTGGCTAGCAATGTGGGTCCTCCCCATCCTTGTCCTACCACCATGTGCCTACATCCACCGCGAATCCAGCTGCTGGCATCTCATACACTGGGTTTCCAGGAATTTTAGACTGCTGGATGATGGGCTTGTCCTTGCTAAAAATGTCAGCTTGACCCATGCAGACTCATTCAGGGGAGGATAACTTGGGCAACAGAAGTTGCACTGCAAAACAAGAGTCTGACAGCACAGAGCAGCCAGATACCCAGCATGCTGCTAGCCTGAACTTCAGCAGAGCCACAGCTTCACCCACCACACTGACAGGTATCGCTACAGCTCCGTGTGCATGTGCACAGGTTTTGGGACAAATACTTAAGTTAACACTCCAGCAAAGCGTTAAGAACAAAACCCAGGAATTTATGTGCAACAGAGGATAAAATGGGATTGCTATGCAGTTCATTTCACTTGACACCTTCCAAAGCCACAGAAATGCGGAGGAATTGTGATTGTAGGCTGAACGAGCCTGCAATTCAGATCTTAGATGAAAAAAATACCGCTGAGTAAGTTACCCTTTAACTTCATTAACAGTATTCAAAAGGGCAGATTAAAAGCAGTCATGTGGTGGTAACATCTTCATTATGATTATATTTTTTTGCAGCCCTAGGAAGTCCCCTCAGTAAAAGTTTCTCCTCAAATCTTTATTTCCCATTTCTGGAGTAGCATTTCAAACACTGTGGGTCACATTCTTCACAGGTGTAAACCACAAGGAGGCAGATGGGAAATGGCTGATTTACACTGATTTGGATCTGGCCCCTGAATGTGTAAATTAATTTTCTGACCACATCCTCCAGTCATGCTTGTGCATGAATTCAGTCTAACAAACAGTAACTTCATTTTCATTTCTATGATACCTAAAAAAAAGGTCCTATTTCAGAATGCTAGCAAAAATAGTTTCCCAGATTTCTCGGAATATTAACTCTTACAATATTGGAATTTTCCAGAACTGCTAGCAAAACAAATGCTGTAAAAAGATACTGACCATTACACTTAAAAATCTCTGCAGCCTCTTAATACTATGGCTTTTTAAAGCGGATGTAATTTATGCCCAGTGTAAAGTCTCTTTATGCAACCACCGACATGTAAGAAACTCTTATCTAAAGTAAAAAAGCAGGCCTCTAAAGTCCTTGAGTCAGATTAGATTTATACCAGCTGACAATACATTTTAATGCATGTAGGGATAGATGAATGGAGATGCTTTATGATGGAAATTTCCGAATGTAGAAACCTGGAGTTGGGTTCACCATTCTATTCAGAGATCCTTAATTAAATCCCACATCTTATAGATAGTGGGCCCCTTCATTTTGATTGAGCAATTTTTGTAAGAGAGTTTATAAAATGATTTGACATTATTCCACTCAGCTTTTATGATGCTGCTTAAGGTCCTATGCACTTTTCTCAGCATGGATGCTGGTGGGCATTTTATAGCTGTAAACTTAAGCTCTGCGTAATAAAAGTTACAACATTTCTGAAACAAATTACAAACCTCATATGAACAGGCTTGCTGGCAACCATCGCTATTCTATCTAATGAACTCTCTCCTGGGTATAAGGGGTGTCACCATACAGCACAGCATACCCATGAAAGCAAGATGTCCCGGTTACTATGAGTCAAGCTAGTATCTCTCCTGTTCTTTGATATTCTACAATAATCTTGAAGGTAGTCTACAGTATTTTTCCAGGGAATTTTCCTCAGACACCTGAATGAGCACATTAAGATCCAGATGCTTAAATGCAGCTATCTAGCAGGGACCTAGTGCACAGAAGTCATAGACCAAGATACTGGGGGAATCGCAAGGACTCTTGCGTTGATTTCAGGTTGGATTGAAGGGAACATGTTCATGTCTGGGACTTGTACAGGCTGCTCACATTTCACAGACATCCTAGTAGGTCTCCCTGATGCAGTAACTACGGGGCAATTAAATCTCAGCTATCCTTAGGGCGTGAGTCATTTAACTGAAGTCATTGAACCATTTGATCACTGGAAAGAACAATCTGATATAGAAAAGCCATGCACATAAGGTAACCGTGTGCCGAGGGTAAAAGGAGCTAATTAGCATTGAGGGAAATGGCAGTACTTTCAGCCTGCTGACAAGAATCGTGCAGTCTAGTTATAACTGTCAAGACTTTGAATACCTAAGTTGTGCCATATAGTCTTGCAGCAGCCAAGGACTCCACATAAATCTTAACACGCTGGAAACCACTTAAATTACAGTTTAGCAGACTAAGGCAGAAAAGGAAATCAGGGAAGCAATCAGCTTGGGTAAAAACATGATCAAATCTGAGTTTTAAATCAGCAATACTGTAACCCAGCAGAGAGCTGGTCCTTTGGGAGCCAAGCATAAGGAGGCAACTGTAAAACCACATATTGTCAGGTTACACGTTTCCTCCGTTCAAAGGAAGTACCCAAAATTCAAACCCCAAACAAGGGATCATTAGCCCTCTCTTGACTACTACGCTGGGGACTGAATTTGGCACCCCCAGAGCTGAAAGGAAGAGCTCTTTAGTCTAGGCTTAAATGAGAGCAACCCCCGATGAGTCCGACACAGATAAGGACCCATACTGCATGTTCACCTGCATGCCACAGCATTATTCCTATGGGTAAAATGACCCATACTAGATATTTGGTTTCTCATTGGTAAACTTTCGCCCTGCAAATTCTTTGGAGCAGTTCATCTTGAGGGCGCTCACAAGGCATGTGTGGGACAACCGGGAGATCAGGCCCAGCCAGCACAGGTTCATGAGAAGCAGGTCCTGCTTGACCAACCTGATCTCCTTCTACGACCAGGTGACCCGCCTAGTGGATGAGGGAAAGGTTGTGGATGTGGTCTACCTGGACTTCAGTAAGGCCTTTGACACCGTCTCCCACAGCATTCTCCTAGAGAAGCTGGCGGCTCACGGCTTAGACAGGTGTACTCTGCGCTGGGTCAAAAACTGGCTG